ATTTTTTTAACTAAATATCGGTTTGAGTTTTTAATGTTTAACAATTATAAAATTTTAAATAAGAAGAATATTAAAGATCATAATATTTTCCGTTCATACTTTTTTTTAATCATATTAATTTTGGGTCATAAAATTTTGAATCAAATTATTTTGAATAATAACGATATTATGCATCATACATTTTTGGATCATATTAATCTGGATCATAATATATTGAATTAAATAAAGATTTTGATCAATACAATATTTGGATCACTATATTTTTTTAAGAATTTAATTTTGAATCATAAAAATATAATCATTAAGGATCATTAAATATTTGAATCAAAATATTTTTAGATCATTACAACTTAAGGATCATAAACATATTGAATCATAAATATATTAAATCATCTGTATTTGGCTCATATTATGTTCAACATTTTTTTAAAAAAACTTTTAATCATTTAAAATCAAGTTTGGTATCTAAAACACCTTATTTTTTAAAAATTCTTTTTACAAAGTCATTGGAATAGTGAGTAGAATTATTCCGTAAATTTTTATAAATTTTGGAGAATTTTGTATAGGGTTTTTTTATAAATATAAAAAATAAAATTTTGTTTCAAATTTTCATGATTGTGCTTATTTTGTAGAGAACTAAATTTTAAGAATTTTGGTTTTTTCAGATTGTTTTTCAAAGAAAAAAAAGTTATGACCGAAAAACTAAGCGGGTGGAAAAAAAACCCACCAGTGAATAAGGGTTGAACACTTGTCATGCTGGTGGTGGGGCACGTGTTAAGAGAGGTCACGTGGACCGATTTTTTTTCTTTTAATCTTTTTTGCTTTTGTCATTTATACCCTCCAAACAATTAAGCTTCCCCGGAAATTATCAAAATCTCGCAATTAATTACCAAAATGTTATATCTTCACGCGAGATTTTGACGATAAATAAAATTAAATATTGGCCATTTATTTTTTCAATCTCAACGATAAAAATTGTCCTCGCGGTTCCTACCATTTTTGAGTTTTTACTTGATCCTACTAATATATATATATA